TGAAGAGCCCGAGCCCGGCCCGTGTCCGAGGTCATTATGCGGTCATCGGCCCGAAGCCCGGCCCTCGGGCTGTCGGGCCGTCGGGGCCCTCGGGCCAAGGGCTCAAGTGCAGGGCTCTAGCTCAAATGGCAGCACTTACCAGTGCTATTCTTGTTTAAATCATACTTACATGCAACTTACAAATGGCATATAAACTAGAGCCGGGACTTTAACAAGTTAATAAAGATTAATTAATTACACACAAAAAAGCGCGTTAAAAAAATTACGCATTTTAATCGTATGTATTTTTGCACCGCGGAATGTTCCTCACTGAATAAGTTTCAGACGGACCAATTGAACTGACGCACCAACCGGAGCTCCGTGACTTTTCTTGTTCAAAAGTACATTATTACAAGCAGAGACCAACTTTAAATTCGAGTAAATTAGACGGGAATGAGCGCTGTGTATGGAGCGATGGACTCTGTGTGTGAGGAGGAGGAGCAGTGACTCCTGTGTGAGCGGAGGAGAAGGAGGAGCGAGACACAGGTGTGTGAGCTGCTAATGCTGATGTTTACTCCTAATGCACACATCAAAAACGTATTATAAAAGCTTTAGCAAACAGCGCATGCCCAGCTTTAGTGCTCACAGCGTGTGCAGTGGATTTTGGGCTTAAAAAGAGTATGTTGTCGTCAGTGTGAGGAGGAGGAGGAGGAGCATATGTTATCGTCAGAGTGTGGAGGCAATGACAGAAACGTTATTTGATGTTTAGAAGTTATCCCTTGAACTCCATATTAACATGTGTTGCTTAAGCCTCATGTATTCAGTCATTATTCAATGGTAAACTAAAAATCCATGTGAAAAAAATTACTTCTCACTGTTCTCAGGTCAAATATTTATATGCGATTAAAATTTGATTAATTGCGATTAAATGGGACTGTCTTAGAAGTGATCATTTGTTAAATTTGAAAAATGTGCACTTAGAGAAAATATAAAAGTTTTTCCACAAAATAAATATAATTAATTATTAGTAAAAACATAGAATTAAAGGTAAATTGAGCAAATTGGCCATATCTGGCTATTTATTTAAGTGTGTAACAAACTGGTAGCCCTTCGCATTAATCAGTACCCAAGAAGTAGCTCTTGGTTTCAAAAAGGTTGGTGACCCCTGTTTTAGAGTATAATGAGTTTGTGAAATGCCTGCGTCTCAGAGCGCGGAGGCGAGTAGCAGCGAGTAGCAGCGAGCTGCAGCGGTTGTGCTGAGCGAAGCCAGAGCGGAGCAGAGCGAACCGGAGTTTTCATCATTTAGCCAGTTTAGTTTGTTTACCATTGCCAAAGTACTTCTACAGATACTAACTGACTCAGATTTAGAGAAGGAAGAAACGCAGGGGTCCAGTGAAGAGGGCACGGATATTATTAGTGACAGGAGTCCGCGCCATGGTCCACAATCAGCCACAGTACAGCGGACTCATCACCTCTGTGGTCGCGGTGGAAGTATTCTGTGAATGCCAAGCAGGGGACGTGGTGGAGGGGACAGGTGAGACATAACACTCACATGTGGGAGAAAGTGTCAGGGATGGAAACAACCGCGGGGGACGCGGGAATAGCCGCAGGAAAAGAACAGATGATGATGATTGTGTAGTTGTTGAGAGTAGAGGAAGAGTATCAAAAGTGGATCAGAAGTGTTGATGAGTCTGTTTTTGTGGAGATGATCTAAGTCTGAGCCCATTAATTTATCTGTTTTTAAATGATGAATTCTAGAGCCTCATTTCCACTGAAACAGATATGCACTAGTTTTTGAAAGGGGCATTTTGAGACAGATTTCATGACTAAACAGTGTCCATGATGATTAGAGGTCTTTGACTTTCATCATATAATTTTCTTGCTTAAGAAAACGCAGTTTTACTCAAATTGATCAAAATGGATTTATAGCACTTTGGAACCAAACTCTCAAACTTATTTTTTGTTATTTGTCTCTTGCGCTTCAATATGCAATTTTAGGTGAACGACAACAATATCGCAATAATATCTTTATTGCAATACTAAACACTCATATCGCATATCGCACTAATTTCCAATATCGTGCAGCCCTAATTAAAAGGTGAAAGTGGCTGCTCCGAGTTTATCTGGTGTCTGTTCAGGCCATTTCCTCTAGTAATATGACGGCCAAGCAGGAACAATGGTGGCATCAAACATATCTGTACTGATTATTTCATAATGGCAATCTCCATGGAAACAAGCTGATTACTTCACCAAGACAAACTATTTTGTCAGTGGTTTGTGGTTACATTAGCTTGCCTGCAAGCTGAATTCTCGCGGTATTTGTGAGTTCACAAACACTCGAGAATACATCTTGCCCCGCTCCCGCCAACCCTTTTCGAGTAGAACATCTAGGTGTTCAAGCCAATCACGCGCCAGTCTGGGGGTTTAGGGCGGGATATCCGGGTTTGACTAAAGCAAAAAGTGCCGGGCCGAAGCAAAACAAACATGGCTACGCAGGAGGACGGACGTGTAGCTGAGGCTAGCAAGTCAGATTTAGCAGAATCTCCAATTTCTTTTTTGAAAGATGAACAGCAAGAGGCGCTTTGTGCATTTCTGGAAGGCAAAGATGTTTGTACATTTTTACCTACGGGTTTTGGCAAGAGTCTAATATACCAACGACATGATGATAAAGCAGTCATAAGCCAAATAAAACTAGTTTAGTCCCGCGCAACTTATGGTGGTTTCTCAGGGCGCACGCCGATGACGACATAATGTTACCAGGATTGGTTTAAGTCAAACCTTGGTAGGCGGGCACACAGCATCACTTCGCCCAATCAGCTTGAAGTATTCTGCTGCTTTTCCCTCCTTTCCCCGAAAGGATTCTCCTGCAGAAGTCCCAGATTGATATTGTGGAGAACGAATTAGAGTTCTACACAATCATCAATCTGGCTCTTGCCAGGTTAGTGGTTACAATAATATGGAAGATTTCTGACAAGGCAAAACCCATGTCGTGAGACACATCCGTACTTCTGCTTCCTTTTTCATGAAACACTGAGTACATTTAAATAAATTATTTAAAGTGTTTTCTTTAAAGAGCAAGATATAAGGGAAAGAACTCATTTTGATGTCTGTTTGGGAGGAGTGTTCTTGTACCGTCAGAGCGATGAGTCTCGTTGCCTCTTCCCTGCAGCTGAAACATTCTTAACGCAGCAGCTCTGTCACCTTGTGGGCGGCTCAGGTCTGTTCTTTCTTTCTCCTTGAATATTGGCTTTTTCTACAAAGCTGCACTTGTAAGAAGCACCGAAATCTTGACCTCCCACTTTTGAAATAACATATTTTAAAACTGCAAAGATAGAAAGTGCAAGATAGTACACATATTCACCAGTAGTGACAGTAGTGACGCAGGACTTTATCAGTTGTTGTTGTTTCTATTGCAACCTTGAGCCTCGTCCATTTTATTACTTGTAACTGATTGTAAGAAAGAAGCACAGCTGTTAGGATGTTTATATTTTGTTTATATAGCCTTACTAAACTTGTGTGTGACATATTCAAGAGTAAAAAGTTTAAGCCACTTCACTCAACCGTAAACTTATTTGAATGGAACGGTGTACATTAATGAACAGCAGTTTCTTATATATATATATAACAAATATACTGGATTATTACAATGGGCATTTTTTTAAACATACACAAATTCACGCCGAACTATTCATACACAGGCCCAGGGAGAACATGCAAACTCCATTCACAAGGGCAATAATTATCTTTACATTCACTGCAAGCCGTTGGGTGGGTCTGATGTTCAGAAGCTCCTCATGGTGTAGGAGCAGGCAGAAACGCTATTAAAGAACTTCTCACCTTTGCTTCTTGAGGCTTACGTCACTCACATTTCCTGTTCAAATCTTCCTCCAAATGGGCGTAGCCAGGAGGACTAAAGGGGACAGGCGGGGGGGGGGGAATGTTCGGCGGGTTTAGGCTGTGATTGACACTTGACTAAAACTACAATATTCAACAACAACGGCATTAACACTACACAATTATCAATAATACAAACAGCTATGCTAACAAAAATCTATCTAAATGCTATGACTAATCGCAAACCTGACAATCGATGAAAATACTCGCTGTTGTTCCTTCTCCAACTCGCTACGGGGGCGTGAACAAGCGGCGGGGCAGCTGACGTAACGAGCCACTGCGGCCTCTGCTCGCAGGTCGCCTGCAGATGGCGCCTCAGACGGTTTTACGCAGAAAGTTGAGCTTTCAACTACTTTGCACCAAAGTGACAAAATTATGACCAGGATTTGTACACAACACTATTGGACACTGAAGCCCCCACTGAAAGATCTCAGCTCCTGTGGACTCACCACCTGCAGGAGGATCAGTGAGGGGCTGGTGCTCTGTGACTGGGTGCAGCTCTGACTGCCACCCCCCCCGACCCAGAAATGGATTAAGGGGAAGAAAATGGATGGATGGATGGACTATTGGACACTCATTTATATCGTTTACCAGCAAAAAAAAGTGGATTTGAGGGTGAGTTGTCCTTTAAAGCAGAAAAAAGAGCGCACCGAAGAGCCGTGGCAACCATGCATAGCGCCATCTTGAAAAAAAAGCATGTAATAATATTAATTGTGATAATTTTACCTTTTTTTAATATATATATATTTTAGAAGTTTTTTTACTTTAGAAATGTTTTATTATGCCTTATTCCTTCTCTTCTTTTGACTTGATGCACCGACGGCCAAAGACATTTCCTAGTAACTGTGACTTCCTGCTACTTACATGGCAAAATGGTTCTGATTCTGATCGTCTGGTTCAGAAAACAAATCCAGGACCTAAATTCTGTGAAGCCCAAGCACCAAATGCTGCATCGTCATGCAGCCAACAAAATCAACTACATTCATACTTTCAGTCCAACTCATAACTGAAGTAAATCACTATTAAAAGAATGTCTGATCGTTTGTAAAAAAAAAAAAAAAAAAAAAGACCTTAACATAGTGTAATTGTATTCACCTAATATTGTTTCTTTTTCTCTTGTTTTCTAGTGATCCTGTTCTGCATGGCAGCGCTCATCTTCCCTATAGGTTTCTATATTAATGAAGTTGGAGGCCAGCCATACAAACTGCCTAACAACACTGTGGTGGGCTCTTCGTATGTGCTCTTCGTTCTCTCCATTTTCTTCACCATAGTGGGACTGCTGTTTGCAGGAAAGGTGTGCCTCCCGGGCTGAGGACCAACACTCCTGCCCCGGTCTTAACCAGGGGGCTGTGAATACTCAACACAAAGACTGGAAAACAAGAACTCTGGATTGATGTCCAAAGCGGAGACTGCTCAACCATGAAGTGTCTCCGTGCAGAAAACTGAATGAACAAGTGCTAATGAGACGGGCGCTAACACAGTGAGGCTTGCCCACCGCGCCACTGTCGATCTTAAATACGGCGTTTCTGTTCGTTTTGAGAAGGTGCCAATGTCATGGCAACCATGGCTTCAATGCTGGTGTGTGTTTGTTGAGCTCTGGCTGATCCCTCGACTCCTGGTTGCCTGGGTACACACTTGCTCCGTCATGATCGCCCCTGTGGCTATTTTTGGATTCTGAGCTATTTCTGTTTTTGTACATTTTATGTTGACTCTTTTCACCCTTGATAAAGTCACTGAACTAGTTGGCGAGCAGTCAATGTTCCCGGAGCAGGAGCCCCAAGAGGAGGAGTAGAGGGTCCGGGCTGTTCCGCCGTAGCCTCCAGAGTGAAGGTGATGGAGGGCACATTGTCGTCCATCTCCTAGCCCAGCCAGTCGAGGGGACCAAGGAGGATACCACTTTACAGACCAGTGTTACTCGCTGTTACTGCAATTGCATATGAAATTGTAGAAACACATTAGACATTTCATGCCTACTACATTTGAATGTAATCTGACATAATGTATTTCTTTCTCTATCCAGTGTTTTCTTAAATGGCTGGTGGCGCTGTGGTGGTATCCTCTGCAGCCTTATGGGTGAAAGAGTATTTGTTTTGTATTAGTGAAGGCACTGGGCTGCAGGTCAGGTCCAAGAGGCTGTGCCTCTATATGTTGTTCTGACGCTTTGGAGACGTTTAACGCACTGCTCTCGAGGTCTTTTCATTTCACACAGAAATCTTGTTTTTGTATATTGGCCTGCATTTAACCCTCTCCACTAAACACTGAATTGAAATAATAATTAATAATCCAAAATTAATATTTTTTTGAAAAACATTTCAGTGATGTAAACTCAGATGCAGAGCTTGTAGACGTTAAACATTTACAAAGCTTTACTACTTGTTTTGAGTTCTTTTTGGATTTGGGACATACACATTTATGTTCTGGTGGGCTGATAATTGTGCCATCTGTTTTTGTTTGTTTGATAATGTACAGACACAAAGATAAGATCTGTATTAGGAAGCACTGTGCATTTAAGCAGTATAGACAACCGAACTAGAAGCACCACAAATGTATAAAGGAGAACTTCTTACCTCATTGTTTTGGTTTCTGCTATTATTTTATAATGGTGGCATTGCGGGCCCTGTTATTTGTCTCTTGCCTTGATCGGATGTCTTCACATAAAGCTTACGATCATTGGAAATTATTTATCATTCAATAAAACGAGAAAATGGATATGTGTGACTATGAAACTGAGAATGTTTTTTATTTCACACTCGCTATATCATTGTTTGAGCAATGAACATTCTGAGATCCTTTATTCGTCCCACAGTGGGGAAATTTCAGTTATAGGCTATTTATTACAATCTTAGTACCTGTGCAGCAACACTTCAATGCACCAATTCTGGCTTTAGTCAATGTTAGCTGTTGATGTATCACTAGCTAAATATTCCTCTAGATGGCAGTGTTGAACAGACCTAGGTCACTAACATAGATCCATGGGCAATACCTTGAACAGCCTTGGACTTCAAAGTCTCTGACTTCCACATGAACCATTATTATGATTACTTATGATAATAATAAATAATAATGCATTGGTTTTATATAGCGCTTTTTTGGACACTCAAAGACGTCAGAAGGCATGTCATTATTCATTCACTCTGTACACAGTAGTGATTAACTTTAACTGTCACCACAGCTGCCCTGGGGCACACTGACAGAAGCGAGGCAACCAGTATGTGTCATCTTCCCCTTAGACCACCACCAGCAATTCACACACACACACACACACACACAAAATTCATTCTAGGCAATGTGGGTTAGGGTTAGGGTCTTGCCTAAGGACAGTTCGACAATTTACAGCCTGTGTGTGGAGATTTGGAGTCTGCAGCCGGAGGAGCGCAGGGGCCAGAAAGGTTCATAAAAGCTATTCTGAAAGATAAGAAGGCCCAAGACCATTAAGACATTTAAAAACCAGTAAAAGACCCTTAAAATCAAGTCATCATTATGATTTCAGCTGTAGTATGTACATTGCTATTCACCCGCTGTCCCAATGTCTGTTTCGTGACGTAATGATGGGACTGTCCTGCTCGGCCCGGCTCGTGGGCTGTCCGTCCACGTGGAGCGGATCCCTCTCTCAATGTGGACCTCCCCCAAGTTTTCCTTGCCAATGCAGGAGTGTCTGTTAGAGTGTTAGTGGGTCCAACTAAATGGACAGTGGTGATGATCCAGGACACTCAACTCAACATTCAATAACTATGTGTTTTATGGACCAATGGCTCTGTTTTTGTCTTTGCATTTCTTGTGCTGAACTGTTGATTCTCTGATCTGTGTTGGTGAACTCAATGGTTATGTTAAGTCCTCTGAGATACTGTTGTGATTTAGGGATATAATTGAATTGAATTAAATCTGGGGGGATCCTGAGGTGTTTCCAGGCCATCTGAGAAGTATTGTCTAACGTGTCCTGGGTCTTTCCCCTGGTCTCAGCCCGGTGACATACCGAGAAAATTTCAAGAGCTTTGTCATTAGACTGTGCTCCCTCTTCACCACAACAGTCCAATACAACTGCACCTCGCACACGCTGCACCAGTCCATCTGTCGATCTCATGCTCCATTCCTCCCTCACTCGTGATCAAGACCCTGAGATACTTGAACTCCTCCACTTGAGAAGAGTTTGGGTTTATTACTTTTCTGAATGAGTCGGGAAATTAAAAAGCAGAAATATATGTAAATGTTATTTTGAAGGGGAATTTAACAGACTAATAAAAGCTAGTTTATTTTAGTCCATTTTTTTTCAATAATTTGCATAATTTTACAAATCACCAACAGGAATAGGCTGCTGCGCTGAAGTCCCTTATCTATTCTGAAACAATTTACTGACAAGCTACTTACACTTAGTTTGTATCACAGTCAGCAATTGCACTTGTAATTGAAGTTGCATTGATCACTTTGTGGTTTTTAAAGTGGTCATACTGTACGTACCAGTCCAGGACACAAACATCTATTCCATTGTAGGATCATTGATAGGATGTTCTCAAGCTTTATCTGGGTCAATTAAAAAAAGCTATAAACAACAAATCGATTAATCCAACAAATCCTAGTTACGGCCCCAGTTCAGACTGATGACCCCTCTCTGGCTGCACTGGGCTATGAGGAGGATCACTGTGGTTTATCCCAGTGACCATTGGGAACATTGTGGAGAAATAACACAACAAAGAAAAGCACAAATGTGAGGAGATCTTACTTGCAGAATAAAACAAAACAACAATGGGGATTAGTGTGTATCTATCTAATGAGGTAAATGATCAGTTTACGTCCCTCAGCGTAAACAGACGAGGTGTTCCATTGCACGACGCAGACACCTGACGCTTGTGCATAAGCGCCAATCAGAAAGAAGCAAGCAGCAGTTTAAGAGGCGCGCGTCTGCACGTGCGGCTGATGGAGCTCTGACGGTAAGTCCGCAACTTCTACTCTCCTCATCTTCATGTTAGGATCCTTCAGATCCGTGTGCAGGCCCTCTTCATCTTTTAGACTACAGGAGAATATGCCTTTCGCCTAACTGTCCCAGATGTAGCTGATTCTGAGCCTATAGTTACCACTGGAACAAAAGTATGATAATTAATCATGAAAAGGTTTTCTAATTGATTGCAGAGGAGACAAGGGAGCAGCCCACCAATAAACAAAAACTAACAAAAACAATTGAAATCTGAAATTATTTCTTGAATACCACACTGTCTTATGGCAGGGGCAATTTTAGACTTTCAGCTTCAGGCGTGCGCAGAACCTTTGGGGGAAGGGGAGAGGGGACATTCAAATGTGTAAAAATATGGACTTTTATTTCCATCCAACTTACAACTTCTGCTTGGGCCAATAGTTTCCTGACGTTGATGCACGGTTGTGTTTTGTTGTCTGCTGCTCACTCTAACCCAGATCATTATGCTCGTTATTCTCCTTCTCTTTAACTGCTGTTTTCCAAAAATACATTTAATATGTACAGTATGTACATACAACAACAGATAAATCCAGCATTATTGGGATCAAACTAAAGGCTGCAGTGTTGCACATGCTCTGATACAAACCATCACAACAGTATCAGCTGATGTTAAATCTCACAAAAGGCAAAACGTGTGTTGTACCAGGACACACACACTGTCCTTTATACTATCTTATTATCTATCCTACAGATTTCACAAACCTCACCTGTAACTTTCCTTTTGTTTTGGAAAAAAACATTCCAATATCCATCGTTGATCTTTAAGACAGGCTGCTGCTCTTGGTGTTTAACACAGCGCTGTTCAGTAGTAGTAGTGGTCTTGTGTTTTTCTGTGGTGCGTTCTTAGGACTTTGCAAAGAGGGTGGTGGCGATATTATAAAAACTTTCATTGAAATTGTAATCTTACATTTAATTTTGTTTTGAACATGTGTGCCCTATAGAGAAAAAGACCTAAACCCAGGCAGCTTTATGAAGCTCTGTGGCACCAGTATGAGTGAGAATGGGCTCTCGCAGCGGCCCTGCCTCAGCCCCTGCTGTCTGCAGACCACTGGACTGCACAACCACCTGCAGCCGTGGGTCAAGCCCCCTGCTCCTGCTCTGGCCTCCAGCCCCACTGCAGTGATGCGACAGCGGGGCAGCGGGGCCCTGGCTGCCACCTGCAACAGCCCGGGCTGTGTGGTCTCCAGGCTGGGGGAGGAGGCAGCTGTGGCTCGACCCTCACCCCCAGGAAAGGTGCTGGTGACTGGGGGAGCGGGATACTTTGGCTTCAGACTGGTCAAAGCTTTGGCAGCTCAAGGGATGACTGTTGCACTTCTAGACATGAACAAACCAACTGGAGATCTCCCAGAAGATACGCAGTTTATCCAGGTACACCACTGCGCTCATTCAAATATTTATATTTATTTGCTCCTGGCTGAAGTGATATTGAGGAGAGCAGAGTGTCAGTATCTGTCAGGTGTCTCAAAGACACAGGTGAATGATCGCCCAGAGCAGCAGCTGCTGGGTCACTCAGGGTGGAGACACATTCTTCAGGTTTCACCTGCAGAACTCACTCTCATCTTAATTATCACTGTGCATTCATTAGAGAGTGACTGCCTGTCCCTGAGCCTGGCTGGGACACAGACAGGTGGAATGACTATGTTTACTAGTTTACAGTTTACATGCTGTTTTTGTCTTCAGAGTGACATTCGGGACTACTGCTCTCTGTATAAAGTGTGTGAAGGTGTGAGCTGCATCTTCCACACTGCATCATATGGCATGTCTGGACCAGAGCAGGTTTGGGCTAAAGAGTTGGCTGGACTACAAACATTCAAAATAGTATATATTATAATGTAATGTCCACACAGACAACAATGATTCTGATTAGAGCACTATGTGAACCATTTTTTCAGCTAAATAAGCAGCTGGTAGAATCCATCAACATTGGAGGGACTAATAATGTAATAAAAGGTCAGTGTGTCAAACATGATCACGATCAACACAAAGGTTCAGAAATGTAACTAAAGCTTAAAGAAGTGTGTTTGTGTGTGTGTGCGTGCCCTTGTGTGTGTGTGTGTGTGTGTGTGCCCTTGTGTGTGTGTGTGTGTGTGTGTGTGTGTGCGTGTAGTTTGTAAAGAGCGCAGTATTCCCCGGCTGGTCTACACTAGCACTGTTAATGTGGTGTTTGATGGTAAACCTATAGAGGATGGGAATGAGACCTCTGTGCCGTATGTGCCTCCTGAGATGGTGGGTCATTGCAGCAAACATCTGGTCCAGTCTTTTAGACACAAGTATGAACGCTTTCTGTTTTCTCCGCAGCACATAGACCACTACTCCAGGACGAAGTCTGTTGCAGAGCAGATGGTCCTCTCAGCCAATGGATGCTCACTACAAGGTGTGAAACAATCAGTGAAAAAAACAGTTATGTCTCTATTTTTATCCTGTCACAAAATGGTCCGGGTTAAGGAGGCAGGAGTTACCATGGAAACGCAGTTGTCCACAAGAGATGCTATATTTTTTTCAATCAAATGGGGAAAACACTCTAATGTTGTTACAATGACACATTTTTCATTTTCAACATTGGCAAACACACACAAACAAGTTCACAAAAAGAAAGAAAGACACAAAAACAAAGCAAAGGACCAAATGGAGGCCAAACGGGATCTCCTAATCCCAGAGCCCAAAGCAGAGCAACATGAAGAGTCAGACTTTATCAGCGAGAAGTAAACTATAGATCATTTCTTCAAGAAAAATGTACATGGATTTATTGCCCTGTTAATTTAATCAACAATCAACATTGAATTTAAATTATCTTCAATGTTATCTTTTGTTTAAATAACACTGGTAAAGAAACTTACTTTTAGAATTCAGCACATAGTTGGAGAACTGCACATAATAAATTGAGAAATGGAGAAAAACGCTTGATCTGTCTCAAGATTATGTTTGTGGGTTACTGTAAATGATTGAACCAATGCTTCACAAAGTGGGGTACGAGGCCTCCAAAGGTTGTCCACACAAAGAACAATTGGGATTTATTTCAAATGTATAATGACAACATCGATACAGATTTGAACAACAATACTTACATAAATAGCATACATTTCAAAGGAAAAACATCAAATAATGAATTGTCTGTCTGTGAAAGCGGACTCCTCCGGACGATCAGCTGGACTTATAGGATTCAAGTGCAGTAATGATAATAGTAGTAATATTATGAATGAATGTTCTGTTGTTCTGGAGGCGGTGAGCTGCTCCGAACCTGTGTGCTCCGGCCGTGTGGCATCTACGGCCCAGAGGAGCGGAGGCATCTTCACCGAGTTATGGTGAGATCTCGTGCCCCGTCCTGCCAGAATATTCTTGCAGTATCTACATTATTGATAGAGCTTTCTTAGCTCCAGTTACATGACTTTTTCCCCTGCTCGTTCTCCTCTCCAAGGCCAACTCTGTCTGTCAAGGACTCTTTAGTTCAGGCCTTATTAAACACACATAGTGAGTACGCGTGAGCCTGACAACAAATTCATCAAAATGTTTGAAATTTCTGCTGTCAAACCTTCAGGGATTGAATTCTTCAAGTGCAGTAATTTTATGGTTTTGAATATTTAGATTTTCTCCCCTTATCTAACTAGTGACGTCTCTTTGATCTATAAGAATGCTCTTGAACAAGAACAAGAGGAGCTATTGCCCCCTGCCTCCTCTGACCACTCACTAGTAACTAGTAAGTAACTAACTATGATATAGTGTTAGTTACTGTGTTAGTTACTGTGATGGTGGATGATTCAGACGTGTTGCAGTCATTTTTTTCCTCAAAGAAAAATGAGGGGTTAATCCTAAACGTAACCCTGCAAATTGCTTACGAGCCAGACTAATTTAACAATAAATAGTTTTTGGAGCGACAGTGGCTCAGTTGGTTGAGCATTGGCCTTTGAACCTGAATGTCGTGGGTAAGAACCTACAGTACTGCAAGACCCTCTCCACCGACTCCCACTGATGTCAGTTGTTGTTGTGTTCTTGGGCAAGACACTTTACCCATTTGCCTCTAGGAGGCACAGAAGTCATACGCTGCATGCCTAAATGTGTATTCATCAAACTGAAATTTGCCCACTGTGGGACGAACAAAGGACTATCGTTCTTTCATCTGATTTTAAATGAGTGCATGTGAAGTGCTCAGCAGCAGACGGGCGGGTCAGTCCCGTGGGGCAGAGCAGACCCACAGTTTCTTTAAGTTTGAGAGGCCATCGTTCTGTGTGTTCACAGGTGAACGTGGAGCGCCGCTTGTTCAGTTTTCGTTTCGGAAACTCTCAGGCCAAGATGAACTGGGTGCATGTGGACAACCTGGTGCTGGCCCACACTCTGGCCTCAGAGGCTCTGACTCCACAGAGGAACTGTGTCGCTGTGAGTGTTGTGAGCTTCAACATTCTCTAACATTTCACTGAAAGACCTCATAGCCTGTACCGCTCTTTTCCTATGTTGCCATTATACGTTTCGTCACACAGAAACAGTTGTTGTGAAGAAAGTAACAATGCATCTAGATGTCATGAATATATAAAAAAAACTAGCATTAAACTTCACAAATTTTGTAACTGATCCCTAAACTGTTAAAGCTATAAATAAATATTCCATATTGTTTATCCCAACAAATCCACAACACGCTGTCTTAATCTTATTATGAAAAATAGTGAAAACCAAACTGTTTTGAGAGCGACAATCTAGTTACATGGATTTTATGAAATAAAACATTTTGTAGTTCAAAAGTAAAGTAAAGCTTTAAAGCCACCCTGTGTAATTTTTTACAGCTGCTCCATATGAAAAAAACATGTTAACTAATAACAAATGTGACCTTTTTAAGAAAATTTACCTCCACCATGTTTTATGAATTGTATTCATAGGCTTAGAATTTAACTAATAAATGTCCATGAGAGAGGAGGACTATCCGTGTAAATGCTCCATCTTGAAAAACGGTGATAGATAAGGGACAAAAAGGATGCGAGAATCGCGTTTTCGTTTCACATGAGCTACTGATATAGTTGCTTTCACCGTGACTTCACAAGTTGGAAGAAGGAACCATGGAGGACCACAGTTATGTAAAAGAAAGATCCGAACAACAATCTTTTAGAAAAATAATTATGCAAAAGTCATAGCAGAAAAGTGTCAACATCGCGTACCACACGCTCAAAGACAGCGTTAACACAACAGGAGGCACAATGTGTAGTTTGTACACAACAAACTCACACGTGAACAATACGTAACTTTTTCACACTGACAATAATGAGAACGAGGCAGAATCTGCAACACAGTCTCAGGATGTTCTGACCCGATCCGAGCGCAGTCCTAATACTATGTCACAAGTTTCAACTAAACTTAATTAGGGAAAAAGCCTCAAATAAAACACACAGAATCCCCGCTAAACAATCGCCAGAATACTTCATCAGCAGCGTACCTTTAAAGGAGCAGTATGTAAAAATCTGGCCAAAAGTGGTACTGCAACCTCTCCCACTCTCTGACTCAGGTTGCCAGATATGCAGACAATTCCAGCTGGACCATAAAATCTGAAAAGACGAGATTTTTGGCAACAATAAAACTATAACCAACACCTTTTTTACAAAGGCCCCGATTAAATCCTGGTTTTATTCCTTGTTTTGTCGTTAATGATTTGACAAGACTGACGAGAGCTTTTTTAGTTTGATTTCTGGTTCTAATGTCTTGCATTTGCGTCTGTTGCAGAGTGGACATGTATATTTTATTAATGATGGCATATCATTCAATATCTTCGAGTGGTTTGAACCATTGGTAAAGCAGTTTATTTAAACTACTTTGTGAATACTATATTTTACACAATGATAGTGACAGTAATTCTTTTCTCCTCCATAGTTTAAAAAGCTTGGTTATGGCAAGCCTTTGATAAAACTGCCTTTCTCACTCGTCTACGCGGCAGGTGAGCCTCAAACTCAGAACAGAGAACATTGCATTGCATTTATTCTTATAAATTTGATCTTTTTTCCAGCAATCCTTGTGGAATGTTTACATGTTGTCCTGAGACCTGTGCTGAACGTGCCTCTGCTTTTCACACGGAATGAGGTAATTCACATATACACTGTTTAATGATTAAATTACAGCATTCACATTTTTCAGTGTATTATCCAATTAGATATTTCATTAAAGTAATGTATGCGGTCGTCCAGCTGTGATCAAGTTTCTGTCTGTAGATTCTTGTTTACGGTGCTGTCCAGACGTAGTGTGGGTATTTTCCGACCAGGCCCCGCTCACATATGTGTGTGATGCTATCTCCTGCACATTAATTATGAAAAGGCAAGTTAATTTGTATAGCACAGCGTCACACATCAAAAAGGTGGATTTATCGCACTGTTAATTTGATATGCATACAGTATATAGATATATAGATATATAAAGAATACGTTTAATAAAACAAAAGACAAAATTGAATTATATTTGATCTTATCTTTAGTTAAAATAACACTGGTGAGGAAACATGCTTTTAGAATTCACAGTGTCAGGCACAGCGCTTGTGCTTCACACCAAAAAGGTCCTGGGTTAGAATTCAACTCCAGACAGGGCCTTTCTGTGTCGAGTTTGCATGTTCTCCCCATGTCTGTAGAGGTTAACTCCCGGTGCTCCGGTTTCCCCTACCAGTAAAACATAGTATCGGTTATGGATGGTGATAGTTAGTGGTTAGGTGTGAGGCTATTGCAAATCACACAAAATTGTACAGCGCTCTGTGTGACCTAGATCTGTGAAATGCTCTCCAGGCGAAACTCGGAAAATATAATATCGTTCAAAAGTCCAACTGTGAAACAAATATATATAGTATGTGATAGACTCTTTGCACATACTCTGAAACATATCAAGCCTTTTGTTGCTGGTTATCAGCTTGTAACAAAACAATAAATACAAAGTAGAATATTTGGACTGTAAGCCATAATCTTGAAAATAAAACAAAGGCTTAGCACGTGTCACTTTGTGTGTAATGAGTCTATATCATTTATTAGTTTCATATTCTAAGTTGAATTACAGAGATAAATAAACTTTTCTAATTTAATTTAAGTCTAGTTTCACCTGTACATTTTAAGATAAGTCACTCCATACACACTCAAAGAAACTCAAAGTGCTGTACAAAACAAGAGGAAACATCCAAAATCATCCAAGTAAAATCATGTTTAATTTCAAATAAAAGAAAAACAGATACAAACACACTTTTTCCCACCTTAACCTCCAGTCGCAATCCAACAGTTCATCAACGCCTGTTTAAGAAACGTGTAAAAAACATTCAAACCAAGGTATTATTGTAAATGTTTGATACGGTTAATCTTAAGGAGGTGTGTGGTGCTGTGAAGGCCTCATGAATGTGTGATGAGGCGAAACCAAAGAGGCCGTCAGACAGCTGCAGCGCGGGGGATCGATGCTGCGGCTGAATTAAACATGAGGCTCTGTGGGTCACTACAGAGCAGGAAGTTCGCAGTGGAGCGGACAGGAAGTGACCTCACCGCAGGTCGGGTTCCAGAGCGTGATCCGGGGATACGTCACGTCTGGCACGTCAGGGGAATCCTCAGACATTGGCTGAAAGTGAATGTTAAAAGTAATAATGAAGTGAAGTGAGGCAGAGAACTTTGACATGCAAGCCCCCGGGACGTCATAGGAACCATTATCAGTTCTTGGTCCTGGTGCACGGTCGCATTCATGTCAATACCTCACTTCACCTGCTGCTATTATTGCTATTGTTTATTCTGGTCATATTCTCTACTGCTAAGGTACAATACAGTATATACATCTCTACCTCCTGCTGTTTACAAAGAATACACTAGAGTACTATCAGGTTATCTTATGTTATCCTGTGGTCTTGTTTGCGGCTATGCTTATGCGCGAAAGCCTGATCCCGTCAGACCTCTGCAGCTGCACAGGGCAGGGGCTGGTTAGTACTGTGATGGGAGACCTCTGGGAATTCTATGTGCCACAGTAGGGCGGCTGTAAAGTGCCAAACTGTCGCTGTGTCCTTAGGCAAGACACTTCACCCACATTGCCAAGAATTATGTGTGTGCGAATGATTAGTGGTAAACCGGAGGAGCCGATGGCACACATTGGGTGCCTTGCTTCTGGCAGCTGTGGCTACAGTAGTAGTTTATCACCACCGTTTATGGAGCATGGATCTGGGTATGGAGTAAAGAAATAATGACATGTGGAGCGTCTTTGAGTGTCCAGTGTCCAGCGCAATATAAAACCAATGTATTATTATTATTACTTATAATTTTATTTTATTATCTATTATCTTAAATAATAGACTCAGTTTGATGCATGCAATCTGAGCACTCTTATTTCCTTTTTTTATTCTGCTGTAATGTGCACAACGCTCATATTGAAATGTGGGACGAATAGATCTTATCTTAGTGACTCTTTTTCCTGCTTGAATCTAAGTGGTTGTACTGTAAGTTAGAACTCCATGGATATTTTCTGAAATATGTTATTACGTTATCTTTATTCATATAGGGAATTTCACAAAAAAAATGTCATAAATGCCCTTTAAAGTATTTTTGGAGTACAGATAGTATAGGACACAAGGTAATCACTTCATACATATGCTTTCAAATTGAATGCTCATCAATCTGAACAAAATTATAATCTATTGTTATTATTGTTGTGCATTGAACAGGTGAGGAACATCGCAGTGACCCACACGTTCAAGATCGACAAGGCGCGTGCGGAGCTGGGATACTGCCCAAAGCCGTACAGCCTGGAGGACTCGGTGGAGGAGTACGTGAAGTCCAGGCTGACCCCGTCCTCTGGCTCTGGCCTCACTCAGCGACACGTCCTCCTCCTGACCGTACTGGGCCTCATGCTGCTGATCTGCTGCTGGATCCTCTGTCAGGCTGAAGGAGGAGCTGGTCCATACAAGTTCAAATGATACTGAGAGGAAAATACTGCTGTGGTGTCAAAACTCAACACAAAAAAGACGGGTGAATCACATGGGCCAGTGTTATTGTTAGTAATATTATAATATAAATATAAACTACATATGTCCCAATCAGGCTCCTTTACCCTAGTGTCATAACTCCTCACATGTTTTAATGGAAGTGAGAACTAGCATGAGAGGAATTATATAAATGTAATTTGATTTTGAGTGTCTGTTTATTGGCTCATATCACAAATCATCACATGTAAAGCCTGAGCTTGACTATTTTAATAAGCTTTACCATTGAGTATCTAGTCATCCCACCTTTGACATTGTTGCATATGAAAAATATGACATAATAAATGTTCAATCTAAATGTGTGCCTGATTGTTGAAATTATTTATTGAATAATTAGTAGCTGCGGGTTACAGTGAGTCAGTGTTTTCGCTTCATGCAGTTTGTGTATTCCACAAACTCTGTAGGTTATGTGTTTTGTTGAATTACTATAGGCCTTCTCCTATGCCACAGTGCCGGGAACTAGTTCAGTTCCCATTTAGTCAGAAGCACCACACTGGATGCGTTAACAATGCAAAAATGGCTGAAGGTAGAGCTAACGGTATTTGATATTAACAAATCTATAGTGTAAAGAACTTATAATATGAAATAAAGTGGATAGGAAAACAAAAAACTGACACATTAAAGAAACTGAATATTTAACTAGAGCAAATGAAGGGGTCTCAAACATGGGAACTGAAAAGGTATTTTGTGGCATCCTGCTTGAAATCAAATCTAATGTTATAATAGACACAAATAAGAAAAGAAGAAAAACCCAGTAATGATTATAGAAAGTCACAGATGCAAATTATGAGCTATAAACAAACTTTCCACAAACACTTGATTTTCATGTTTTTGTCTCTGTTCTTTGCGCTCACCCATTTACTTTCTCCACTGCCATTGTTAAAGAATGGAAGAAGATGGAAAAGTTTTAAAGATAGATATTTCTACCCGTACAGAAGACAAACTGCGTGAGTTAAGTGAAGTAATATTTGCAAGTGCATAGATTTGTTTACTCTAATGTTCATATCTTTTGCACACACACAAACACGTGACATTGCCCTTCATGCGGTGCGACAGTTACAGCGTGAAACCACAGGAGGGCGCACACGGACCACAGTAGAAGCTCCATTGAAGAATCCATGGTTCTTTATTTCACTTTCACCAAGTTTCATTGCAGTTCATTGTTTAATAACTTGCAGACAAAGTTTGTGCTGAAATGTTAATGTATTTATTTATAGTTACTTCTGTTTTTTAAGTCAGTACATACAAAGCAACTAAGATTTTAACATATAAACACATAGATTAAATACATCATAATAATTCTCAATCCTGTTTTGTTGATTTATATTTCAGCAGTGATACATTTATCATAAATATATACTTATGTTTTCTTCCTGAGACTGGAAATGAGTGTAAAATTAACTAATTAAGTAATAAATAAAAAAATAAATAGCAAATATATTTAAAAAAATAAATAGATTGGTATATTACACTAGTAAACTTAAGTAAACTACACTTTTGTCCATAGCACGTATTACGTACAAAACCAGACTAACACTTTCATAACGAGCCATGCCTCATAATCCAACTTTAGTAAACTTACACAACTCAACAAATACCAACGTTTAAGCCATTTATCCTCAGCGCCTGATGCTAAAGTAAGGGATTATTTCCCATTTTCTTCAAACAACTTTCCTTGATTCCCTTCACTTCACTCTTCACTCTCAAACCACATCCCACAATGCCTCAATAAAACTCACTTATCACTGCTGCAATGCAATTTGACTTACAAGATTAAGATCAATAATTTGCCAAGGCAAACACATTCATCGCATTACAATCTATTCTAATGAATCGTCATGACAACAAAACTAGCCTCATTTCCGTTGAAAGACAGTGACAGACTTGACCAGAAAAAACAAGTCCAAACGGAGCAGAGTTGCTCATGTGGAGGTGGCGGCGCTGCGGCTCAGGTCTTGTTTGGTCTTTTGGATGCGGGTGAACAGCTCTTTGAACAGGACTTTGTATTCCGGCTCCTCACAGACCGTACTCAGGTCCGACAGTCGCCTCCGGGAGCGGCCGCCTGCAGACTGGCAGCTGGACGTCTGCACGGCCTTGTGGCTCAGTCTGTCTGACGCCTGCTTGCAGCGCACAAGAAGCTCTTCGTACTTGACCTAAACAGAATTAAACTGCATCACGTTTTACACAAGTGTTTGTTCCATACAGAGACTGAATTTAATCTTTCAATCTTCTACATTTTATTGGAATTGCAGTGATGGATCTCCTACATGTGTTATTGTCTTATTCATAACCTATTCACTAGTATTCAAAAGTCCTCTTTCCCTGCCTGACAAATGCAGGGCTGATAAGTGAGTCAGACAAACTATGGCCACCTTTACTGAATGAAGCGATACAAATTAGCCTGGTCTTACCATACCATTGTACAAATTTAATTTCAGACATGTAGGGAAATAATAATTGAACGGAGTTTAAGGATGGCTAAGGCCAGGCTAATTATAAATACAACCTTTACAATAATGTAACGATACTGCATTACATACAGTATAAACTGTAACAGAGAAACAAAAATATATAAAAAATATATAGATAAAAAAGTAAATAGATAAATACTGCCCCCACCTGTAGTGCGCTGTACTGCGCGTCCACCTCATGCAGCAGGGACACGCCGCGGTGTCTGGCCTCCGCACGCCGCACACACGTCTGTTCGTGCACGATGCGCAGCTCATCAGCAGCTGCCAGAGCGCTGTCGCTGCTGCAGCGCTGCTTCTGCTGTGGAGGATCCTCACTCTTATCCACACTTTCACTGAGCTCAAAGCCCAACTTTTCATCTGAGGAAAAGAAAACTGTATCTGGCAACAGCTGCTGCTCTGACCTCCTGAGGAAACACAGAGCATCATTTTAAAAGTACAATTCTATTCCTATTTAGTCATCAAAAATATCAGGAGGGGGTTTATTGCTTTTTCAGTCTTTGTACAAAATCCAGAGCAAACCTGAAATGGTTATCAGTTTCAATCAGGCATTTTTGAGTTGATAATTTAGTGGCATCTCCCAGAAATCAGGAGGTTAGAAGGAGCCCCTGCTGTTGGTGGATCAGTTAGAGCTCCTCTGATGTTCGTATCAGGGAGTCAAAAATGAACTGAAACTGACAAAACCTTTCTATATAATGTTTGTCAATGTCCATGTCAATATCAGCTATATTTGTAAAGCACAATTACAACAACACCAGCAAAGTGACCAAAGTGCTTCACAGGCACTTTGTTTGCAGCTGCAAAGAGCTCCTGACACCTGGCTTCCAAAAAACATTCACCAATAATTTAGTACTTATGCTTTTTGATTGAATAATTGAATTGAATTGAATAATGTTTGCCAACATTATCTATTTATTACAAAACATGTTCCAAACAAACAATGAATCAGCCATTACCTATGTCTGCAGAAACACAATTTAACACAAACATATTTGAAACAAAAGACTTATCTCAGTATTATGCTTACAAAGACTAATTTGGAAGCAAGACTTTAGTTTTAAAAAGCAGAAAACAGCTCTGACCATGAGGTGAGATTACCATTAAGATTTAACATTAGCATGGAAGAAGCTGAAACATGTACGTTTTTGGTGATGGAACAATGTTGTGACATTGTTAAAAACTGAATTTGATGTTTTCATTGTAATTCCACTTTTAAATGACGTACAAACTGAAGTCTTACTTGTTGGCACAGTCGCGCTGCCACAGACCCCTCAGCTGCTCCACCTCCGCCTCCAGCTCCTGTTTCCGCGCTCTGCATCCGTCCAGAAGAGCCAGCCGCTCCTCCAGGCTGCGGTTCTCGCTGGTCGTGAGCTGAATCTCCCGCTCGGCCGCCTCCCTGTAGCTCCTCTCGATGGAGATCTGCGTGTGGAGGGTTTGGACGCAGCGCTGCAGGTCTCTGTGCTCCTGCTCCACGTCTGGACACTGGTTTGAGCGAAAGATCTGGTGCGACCAAAGTCCCTCTGAGCCGCAGTGACTGCGGCTCAGTCTGAACACAGCAATGATGGGACAAAGATAGTATTCAATTCTTTGGAATAAATTAGGGATTACATCAACCAACACAACAAATACACAATCTACCATCCATCCAACAAAAGAGAAGAGGAGAAGATTTTTTTTTTCTTCAATTTAATGTTAAATTAGATGTTTGAAGGTAAATCCTTTGCTCAAGACCCACATGAAATAATAATATGAAAACCACATTTTTATTTAGGCTCAAAATGTTTTCATGATTTGTGTTTTATTTTCTTACACATAGAGTATGATAATTAGGTCTTACATGTGACCTGTCTCAGTCTGGCTTGTGCTTAACAGGATTATACGAATCTTTACTCGCACTTCACAACGAGGACAAGCGTGTGAAGGTCTTTAGTCTCTGTGTGGTGTTACAACGTCATCGTCACACACCTATTGTCTTGTAGGTCGTAGAGCTCCTTCAGACAGGACACACTCTGCGCCCCCAGCGACCGTCTGGTGCGATTGTCCTGAGAGGCTTTGAGCTCATCCACTTGTGTCTGTAGATCCTGCATGTGGCTCTGGAGGCTGTCGATGGTCTCTGTTAAACTGCACAGGAAATATCAAGTTCAATATTTTAAACAAATTTTGAAGCACTGTGGGGCTAATAACGGTATCATTCATTCTTATACTGGACCGGTAACTTTGGCCATGGGGAGAAATGCAGCCCTCCATTTTCAATGCCAGTAAATAAGCGAAAATACTGCATAACTACATGACTAAATAATTTAAAGAAAATCTCAATCAAAGGTTTTGCTTTGATTAAAGACAGATCTTGGTTTTTGGTGAAAAGCCTGATGAATTGAGTTATGACTTGATTAAAAGTCGAGAATTCAATAATAATCCAATATTCCGGCACAGTATTTGGCCAATATCTTTGAATCCCTTTAGATAATTGGCCCCCGATGAAATGAGTTTGGACACTCCTGACATCAACACTTAACATATATACCCCTTATACCCCCCCACAAACCCCTTGTACTTGACATAACTACTATAGGTAACTCCTGTAGAATCTGACCTGAATATTTTGCACTGTTGACCCCAGTTATATCTGAATTACTGCTAAACATAATTATCTGAAGAACTGAACGTATTTGTTCTGACCTACATTGTTACTAGTGTCTATAAAGGTATTTTATAGTTACTTCCGGGTGGATCATCAAGACTATTGGTCCTCCCAATTGTCAATCATTCTGGTGATACATGCTCGTCAAGTAAGACCAGAGAGTTTTGTTCAAAGAGTGGAGAGGGCGGTTCTTTCCTTAAATTTGGGGAAATCCTTCTATACACCTTGACGCACCAAGTATGCGTCACTAATATCTCAAGTGATGACGTTCTTAAGCACATTGATACAAATCATATAAAAAAGCGTTGTCTCCTTTTGTTCAATCTGGAAGAACTCCGCAATAAACTGGTAAACAGGTGCAATCGCTGCACCCTCACACTAGTACGCATGCGCCTTCTGTTCGGCGACCCCGCTCCCCTCTCTGTGTGGAGTGAGAGGACAAATGCCCAAAAAAATAATAACAATTGTAAACCGCTTTGTGACCCCTGTCTGTGAAAGGCGGTATGTAAATAAACATTACTTACTTACTTACTTACACACACACACACACGCGCACACACACACACCTGTGGATCTTCTGCTGGGCCAGCCTGTTGTCCTGCACTAATCGATGGTTTCCCTGCTCCAGGTCTCTCGCTGCCAAGTCCAACTGCTCGTACAGTTTGGCATGATGATCGTTCATCTGACGCAGCAGCTCCACTTGTTTAGTCAAGTACTGGTGTAAAAAGATCTGATTATTTACTGTTAATCTAATTCTAATTCACCCTCAAAACTCATCTGTTTAGACAAGCCTATCACTAACATCATAACCACACAATCCTCTGTTCAAGCTGATTTTGACCGTATTTTAACTTGTATTACAACAAAATGTACTTTTCACTTGTGATGTAAGGCAGCCTTGAGTATCTAGAAAGGCGCCTAAGAAATAAAATGTATTATTATTATTATTATTATTACTATTATTATTATTATTATTATTAATTTATTACTGCTATCATTATCAGCTTGTGCACATTTAGAAAGAATACAAGCGTTTGTCAAACAACAACAGGGGAAATTTATTTAGATGGCCATTATCAAAGTGTTAAAACCACTGTAGGTCATCGAGATAATCTCCTTGTGTAAAGGGGACATGGATCGAAGTAACAAGCTTAACCGTGGTGAGCTCCTAATCCTGTGTTTCACAATAGTTAGCTTGGTTCTCAAAGTATTAAGTCTTATTAGCATGTAAGAAATATGGGAATGGGAGTAATGGAGATGAACATTATATACAAATCATGATTCACTATTAATAACTCAAACATTAGGATTAAAGTTCAGTCAAGTTGAAAATAGAAGTTTCAAAACAATGTGAAAAGTATTAAATGGTGGCACCTCTATCTCCTGCAGCTGCTCGTGGTTGGTGGAGTACATCTGCTGCAGATCTGCTTCCAGCTCATGATTCTGGTCCAGGAGGGTTTTCCCCAGTTCTGCTGCCAAATGAAGATCTGTGCAAATTTTTTTAAAATAAACTTTAAAAATCATAAAAGAGAATCTATGGGAATGTTAAAATAAAGACATCTCAGAAAAGTGTATTTGACTGAAGGACAAAGGCATCTGCCCCTTTTACTGATTGTATCCTGTCTTTTACCCAACTTCCTTTCAAAACATTGCGTCAGCCAGAACCAGGAATCCAAATACAAATCAGATGTGAACAATATACTTCTATATTTGAAAAAATGTTGTCACGATCTCGACCATGACCCACCCTGAAGCTGCAGCTCAAACTGCAGATGTAGACTTGTGACAAAGTGATACAAATCAGATGACATTCTTCACATTACTTCCACTGTTTGGAGCAGCTCCTCAGGATGCTACGCCCAAGGCTTTTCTACAGTCTAAACACCTTTCTAAACACCATATTCACAGGCTGTTTACTGACATACTTCTGTAATCCTAGCATACAATGTATATAATTGCTTGAGTTATTCTACGTTCATCAACAAACAAGGAAGAATTACATTCTCACAGGTTATATCGATGTAATTCTCTATTCAAAATTGTGAATGAACTAACTCAAAAACTTGTCTTGAACTAAATGCTTTGCCTAAAGATATTAGTGTTTGTTTACAATACACATATTGAATTGATAAGATTTTTTTTTTTGTATATTATTAAGTGATATTTAGGTAAAGCTGTGGTACCTGTATGTCCCAACAGAAAGTCTTGTTTTAACATTTTGTGAACTTATAAGAAAACATTTTGCAAAGCTGATTGGCTGAGTGAGTTTTCACCGAAAAACTGATATATTAGGAGCTCAAAATACATGAGAAAAATAGTGAAGAACCAAATTGTTTTGAGAGCGATTTAAGAGAGAGAGAGAGATTTAAGTGCATTGGTAATTTGTTATGAATTCAAAGTACTCTAGCATTATGTTGGTTGCATCATTATCATTTTGTTTTATCATTTTGACCATCACTGATTCACCATCACTATTATCACTGTATTTTTTCTAAGACACATTGACAGCAGTAAATGCACGATGTCACAGCCCAAAGCCACACAGACCAAAGTGTACCTCTTTCCAGATCCCGAGTGTTGTACCAGTGCTCTCCATCCTTCTCAAACTGCTCCTCTAGAATCCTGTTCGTGAGCATTTTACAGTTACACCTCACACAAAACCAAAGTAACCTGAAAAGCAAGATTCAAGTCATAGTGTGTACAGCCCATAGACAGCCCGGACCGCTACGACCGCTCCCTCTTCTTCAGTCCTTGAGTGGCAGAAGCCCATTGCAACATTTCTCACTAAAGCAACGTGGCAAGCTCACACTAGTGTCCGGTAGATGGCGCACTCAATTAATAAACTAAAATAAATAGCTTACTTATTTTTTCATTATTGTTAAATATGACCCGTATGTTGTATAAATGCGGTGTTACTAAAGTTATAAAAATTAAAATATAAATATGAAAATCCTTCCGTGTATGTTTTTGACCATCTTATGTTTTTTTACCCCTTCTTAAGTCGGGAGAAGGAAATGTATCACATTCGTGGCTTTACTACAGACACTGTGTATTTAATTATTTATAGCTTTAAACAATTATTATGTTCTAGGTAGGTTTTTGAACACTTAATTTGGTCATGGTTCGGGTTTTTGGTAATGTATGCCCAAAGACTCTATGGAATCCCAATCCAGTCTTGACAGAACTGCGTTGGGGAAAATAATGACGCCTTTAACCAATCGGATGTTTTATTTGCATCGGCGCTTCCGCATTCAAAACAAGTACAAAAACAGTTGTCTTTTTTCAATCTCAAGCTATTTATTAACGATAGAATGTCAACACCGGGGGAAAGCATTGTTAGAAACCCTATTTAATAGATTGACTCCCTATTATACTAATTATAGTTGTTTACTAGCTACTATGAAACGTAATTTAAACTTTTTTTTGGGAAATTATTAATTGGCGATTGACACGTAGAACAGGTGAAGCAGGAAGAATGGCAGCCATGACAAGACTGGTGAAGAAACTGGGCTTAGACCATGCAGCTGTAGCTTATTCCATGACCACACTAGGGTCGTGTATGATAAATAATATATTCAGCTTTTATTATGTCAAACTTTTTCTGAATAAATACAAGATATCAGAGGGAGCCTTTCACCAGTCACAAGTGAGTATTCCACGTGTACAATATCGAGTTTTACAGTATTGTATTAAATTATAATTATATTTAAGTAAATGCTTTTGTTACTAAATATAATATATATATATATTTTTTTTCAGTTGGTCTACATGATCTGGAATGCAGTGAATGATCCCCTTTTTGGCTACCTGCAGGATAACTCCAAAGTTCCATGTTGCTCTAAACGGCGTTTATCCATTTTATATGGTGCCCCTCTGTACTCCTTAGCCTTTCTTCTGGCATGGTTCCCTTGGCGCTCGTATTCTCCTGGTGACTGGATGAGTGGGGTTCATCTGATGGTGTCCTTGTGTGCCTTTGATGCCCTGTTGACGTTTGTGTTGTTGGCACAGTCCGCATTGTTTGCAGAAATATCAAATCATCACCAAAGTCGCCTCCGTCTTGTGAAATACAGTCAGGTAGCAGCATTGTAAATGTATATACATGTGTCAACTGCTTAATTATTGTTGTTGTTTTTTTGTGAAGGTTGCTTCTCTCATCGGCTCATCCAGCATCCTCTTTTGTGGGGTGATATCTAGAAATATGGAAGATTTTCTGTCATTTCAGGCTTTTGCTATTGTCACTGCTGTCCTGAGCTGTGGGTGCATGCTTTACACAGGCTTTCACTGCGAAAGCCGCTTTGATAACAAACTCAGTCAGACTGAAGACCAAACTTCATACGATTTAAGTATTTCAGTCAGCCTATTGCAAAGTCAAATTTGGCAGATCCTCACCAACCATGATTTCCAACGTTTTGTCCTCATGAATTTTTGCCAAGTTTTTATCCTAGCTTTTTTCAATAATTTTACCTTGATCTTCACTGAACATTTAATTCCTCCGGATGTTCTACCAACACTTGCTAAGAGCTTAATGTATGGAGCAGGATTTATCTGTCCACAGGTAAAAACATTTACATTTGGTGGGAATTCTCATTCATATACAGTAGACTATTAAAAAACATTTTCTCTGCAGATACTGGTTTTGTCTTGTCAAAATCTGCTCTGTAGTGTTGGTTACTACAGAGTCATCCTCATGACCTTCTATTTGGAAGCTGGGATGGGGATGGTCATGTTTGCCCTCGGACCTCAGCATTACTATTTACTTGCTCTATTTCTGACGGCTAACTTGTAAGAATTACCATAATGTGCAAATGTTAATATCACCGTGTTTAGTTAATTACTTTGCTTTGTACAGGATCTTAATTCAGGCAGCGTTTAGTCTCTTTGGTTTGCCGTTGGCTGACATAATTGATTCTGACCTTACCAAATACAAGCGCAGGTATAATACAGCAACGCAACAGAGTATGGTGTCCAAAAATTCATAGTGTGATGTTTTACAGTTGTCCATTGTCCTCCATGGTGTTTGGGACCAACGCCTTGTTTACTAAACCATCTCAGTCTCTGGCCCCAATGATAGTGCTTACAATCCTCAACCAGTTTGGATATGAACAGCTCAAAGAAGCATCCAACGAATCAAAGCAAAGGTATTTATTTACATGCATACTACACTTACTTAATACTTTCCCTTTATACTTCATTGTGACACTATTGTTTAATATCATACTATCATAATATACAATATTAATAACAATAATTATACAAAATTACACAAAATGTTACTATTGTTAAACATTGATAACATTGTACATCGTTTCAGTGACCTGGAAAACCTACACAACGTCATGTTCTCTCTGGTCTGCCTTGTTCCTCTGGCAATCGCAGTTCTTCAAATTGTGTTCTTTAAACCTTTTTCTATACGTGAAAGTCACACAGTTGACATAAAGTACATTGACAGCTGATTTAAGCGGGACATCGGGAGGATTTTAATGCCAGCAGATTCACATGCATTAGAAGCTAACGTCATCTTTCATCCTGCATTCATTCCAACAATACGTCCAAAGAGCCACAGTTTGTGATCGTCTTGTGTATCACAACAAACTTTCCACTTTGTGAGTGAGCCACATTACAAGTTGTTACATATTCTGATAAATATCATTATGTAAACTATTAGACGAGGTATCTGCCATCTGTAATGAAATATTTAGATTAAGACTGTACATTTTCTGAGGTAGATATTTCCCCATAAATTGATGCAAGAAAAAGTACCTTATTATGAAACCCTGTTGCAGCCTGTGTGTTGGTTTTCAAACCTCTTCTCTTGTATAGTTCTTGCAATACATCATGAAACTGAACCCGCTTTGTCAATGTCCTCTAATCAAGAGAAGAACATAAATTATACATAAAAAGTAAAATAACAAAAACTGTATTTATATTTGATTACACTGTATCTACAACATCCTGTGATGCCAATTACATAAATAAATGTTAAATATTACAAACCTCAGCTGAAGTGTTTTTTCTGCAGATCTGAAGGCACAGTCCCTGTAAAATAATACATTTTTACTCCTCTGTTCATACTTAACATAAAGAATCAACAAAATACCTTTTTTATGACGATAAGTGAGACCAAAGCCAAATTATAAATGGCCAACAATACACAAAAAAGCCAAAGAAGAATGTGCCGCACCATTATTTTTACAGGCTCTGAAAACACAATTTAAACAGTAATAGAGCATTGGTTTTGTTGTAATCTGTCTTACCTTGTACAACCAGTGTAGTGCCTCCTGCGACATACTGTGTGCCTGTATCTTGTGCAGATGTTGCTGCGCAGTGGTAGATGCCGCTGTCTGACAAGTTCAGGGACATGATTTTTAAAGAAGCACCGTCCAGGCTGTAGTTGGGGCTTCCTAGGTCTAATTCAAAATGTTGCTTTTCTTTAAATACAAACCACTTGTAGACCAAATTTGAACAATCTGATGTAAATATACAGGGAATGACCACAGATCTTTGGGTTTTCCTGAAAATGCTTTTTTGGGGTTGTGAAAGGCACTCCTCTTCAACTGCCATACTCTCTGAAAATACTGGAAACACATACTCTTGAGCAGTTTAATCAAAAACATTTAGGCCACTTTAACAATATTTTACATGAATAAATGACTTACTTGTTAGATATGTGAAAAGAAGAACAAAGCTTAACATTTGCCTCATATTTGCTGCTCGACAGCAAAATTAGAAATGGTAGTCGCAGTTTACAACATGGAAACTTCCTCAAATCTACTTCTCTATTTGTCCCTATTACTTAAACAGAGAGATGTCTATATCAAAGTAATTGTGTCATGAACTGAATTAGCTTTTTTCTTGTAAGCGATGCCCTGTTTATTATATAAGGGTGGGATCATGGAAATTAAGTTTAATTAGTAAGTTGACATTTTACAAAGCCTCTTAAAACTAGAGTAAATTTTGTTTTTATGTGTCAGAATACATTGTGTTTGTCCCAACGTAAAGAGATTTGTTTTAAGTAACATTTTGTGAACACATCACACCCCAAAATGCTGACTTAATCACAAACAACTTGCATTTTTAATTTATTGTTTTATTTTTTGTGGTTTCAAAGTGAGGCATCACAGTTTTGAAGTAAGTTACAGTAGTTGTATTAACACAGATCAGAGTGCGGTGGCGTTTAAAGCCCCTGGAAGAGAGTAAATACAAGGTTACTTTATTCTAGGAAGTAACTTTTAAAGTTAAGAAAGTTATGGGTCTAACACTAGAAACTGACATTGTGCATCTTTATAAACACCAGATGTATATATGATAAGTAACACAAGTTATTAAAGTTTTCAGGGTAAAGAAACCAAAGCCTGCATGAAGCTGCTGTCACTCATCATTTGAACCCAATCCTGTCCCGCGCTTGTGCTCCCCACGCCTCCTTCCACGTCGACTCGCTCACTCGCCATATTCCCCCTTTGCAGACACTGCATCAGGCTCCCAGGTTTCCTCCAGGTTTCCTCCAGGTTTCCTCCAGGTTTCCTCCAGGTTACTCCGGGACACTTCCAAACAGAACAACAGAAGGACTGAGGCGTCACACTGATCAACATGAACATCTTCAGACTCACGGGGGATCTGTCTCATTTGGCTGCAATTATCATCCTGCTGATGAAGATATGGAAAAGCAGGTCCTGTGCAGGTGAAGCGTCTCCTCTTCACCTAAAGTGTTCCTAAAGCTGCATTCTGGGCTCCAGAAGGTGAAAGTCTCTCTGGGTATCAGCGGGTATCTACTATCTGCAGCATTCTAGTGTTTATAACGACATATCCATTCATTTCTGCCAGTGGCTAAGCTAACAGCTTTAGCCATGGACTGACTTGCCTCCCTAAGGAACACTAGACACAATCCTTCACACTGTTGTTGTTTTTGCTAATATGAAGGACATTTATCTTTGTATGTCCTGTGTGTTCTTTCGTCTGTTTTAACTTCTTTCATACATCGTTCAACTGCATCTCTATTGTTTATAAGTGGTTCACTCTAACGTGAGATGAGTAAATCACGGAAACATTTATCATTAATCTTGCAGTTTTTGCTCCTGGATCAGTGTTCTTGGTTGGCGTTTGCAAAGTGCACTTGTTTATTTGAAAGTGTGTGTCGCTGTGTTCCGGTGTCGATGTGTTGGGTCAGTCTATGGTTGGGTCTGACGTCTGACGTGGCGTTCTAGAAAACGCTACGGAAGTAGCAGCCTCTTGCTAACTGTGTTTATTATACTATTTATATTATTAATATTTACAGACTATGGTTTTGTTGTGTTGCAGTTAGTTATTGTTCTCATGAATGTTTATAATTAGACCTATATTATATAAAGAAAGCAACATTCTGTTTCTGTGGAAACAAGTTTTTTCATAAAATGTTGACTTGAAAAGGTTTCATCATTCTTCTGTTTTAAAGTATTTATCCAATGCTTTTTTAAATGCAAATGCTGACAATTTATTTTGCTCGTCATTACTCATTAACTAGTTATTTACATCTCATGTAATTCTGCAGACTGCTACACTCAGTGTTACTGCTGCTGTACTTCCAGCAGGTGTCATTATCTTCTAATAAATGTATTTGTTTTGAAGTTTTGAGGTTAACTCTAAATGTTTGCATTTAATCTTTTTTTCGAATCAAAGGCATTTCAGGAAAAAGCCAGATCCTCTTCGCACTTGTGTTCACCACACGATACCTGGATCTTCTCACCTCTTTCATCTCCCTCTATAACACCTTCATGAAGGTAGGGATATTTGTTATTCTTAAAGTTTTGTTTTATTTATTTTTTTGGGGTATTCTGAAAGTCATTCTTCAAATCTCTGTTCTTCTAAAGGTGATTTACATTGGCTGCGCATACGCTACGGTCTACTTCATCTATGCAAAATTCAGAGCAACCTATGATGGAAATCACGACAGCTTCAGAGTGGAGTTCCTGGTTGTTCCTGTTGGAGGACTCGCCGTTCTGATCAATCACGACTTCTCGCTCCTGGAGGTAAAGTGTTGAATTATTGTGAGTTGTTTGAATATGATAGATGGTGTGGGTAATGTTTTGGCCCAATCCCATAAACTTTCATACAGATATTCAGGTGGGTATATGTACACACAGTTAAATTAGTTAGTTTTTGACAATCCTTTCATTACAATAGTGTAAGTCCTTCATGTGTTATCAAACTCTCATAGATTTATTTTTGTGGAAATGCCAGTTGAGGGTCAGGAGTTGTGGTTTTAGCTTCACCTGTGTTTTGGAAGAATTGTAAAATATGTGTTAACCTGACAACTTGCAATCATGTTTTTGTAATGTTTTCACACTGGGGAACAAGCACAGGAATAACATCTTCATTACAGTGATATGATACAGATATTGGTTATACAAAGTCTTTGGGCCTTTCAGTTAATGTAGTGAAACTATTAGCACAGAACATTGTATAGCATTAACTTTGACTCATAACTGTCACGGCAGGATAAATTATTATAATCATTATTGTTCTCTCTTATGTGGTCAGGTACAGATAAATATATATTGGGGCATCCGTTTTGCTTTTCTAATTCTGAACACATTACATTTCATGACGTTATGTAACAATACATTTTGCTCATCACTGTCTTTTGTTTACATACCATTACATCGATTCTATTTCATGGCAATTTTTTAGAGACGTATGATGATGACGTAAAACTCTTTTGGGTTGGATGAAGCCAAGTTCAAACTCTGTGTTCAATCTTTTTAAATTACAATGTCAAAAGTTTACCTGCCCTGGTGCTTTTCATGAAGTCTACTGGTTTGAATGGTACCATCACTGATTAAACCACTATTACCATAAAAGACAGAATAAAACCAAAATTGAACCTTCAAGAACCTTTTCATTATTAGATGAAGATACATGTGTTATATCACTAAATGAGTAATGTATCACTATCTTTTTTGTAAATAAACATTTCTGGTTTGCTGTATCCCAGATTCTGTGGACTTTCTCCATCTACCTGGAGTCTGTGGCCATTCTGCCTCAGCTCTTCATGATCAGCAAGACGGGCGAGGCGGAGACCATCACCACACACTACCTGTTCTGCCTGGGCCTGTATCGCGCCCTCTATCTCTTCAACTGGATCTGGCGTTTCTACTTTGAGGGCTTCTTTGACATGATCGCCATCGTGGCCGGAGTGGTGCAGACTGTTCTTTACTGCGATTTCTTCTACTTATATGTCACGAAAGGTATGGATCACTGGAGTGCAACTTTTATTATTGACTCAAGGGGGCAGTGTCTGAACTATGTATGTTACAGTAATAGCTGTGTCACTGTTATAGCATTTAAAATTCACAGGAGTCGCTTCTTGGAAATATTCAAAGGCATTTTTGAAAAGTAATCACAATTTCATAGGAAATGAGTTTGGCCAGTTTTTTCTTTTCACGGAGAAACCTCAAATAGCCTTTGCTTTGGTTAACAGTATGTGCATTTGTATTCGAACACAGAAGGGATATGGAGAATTTTTCAACGCTTTGGCCCCATGACTATGACTACTAACGTCAGTGAAACTTAAACTGTTAAAGGTTCTCACTTCCATGTAATGCCAAGACTGCAAAGCAGACTCTTGCAACATTCTGGTTTTTACAGTTGAAAATGTGGTTGTCTCCCGTCTGAGCGCCTGAGGCGGGGTCTTGTTAGTGTCAGGACCCTGTAGAACTACATGCACCCAGACAAATACATACAACGCACATTGATGAACTTTTCTATATATTCGCCAGATTGAGCTGAAAAAGATTATGATTCAATAAATCATTTGTGGCATTATTGACGTTCTCATTGTCTAACTGAATGTCTTTCTCTTCTGAGTGCTGAAGGGCAAGAAGCTGAGCCTGCCTGCATAAACAATAGCGGAGGGGATGGGACCCCAGCAGACTCAGGGCCAGTGGAGGTGAAATCAGCAGAAAGAGGCTGAGACAGAGGCCAAACTCACGGGGAAAAACACTAAAGTCTTTTGGAAGATTTCAGATGAACTGGTAAATGCCAACGCCAGAGCTGAACGAATCTCAGCCATTGGATCCATTTGTTCAGCGTCTTTGCCTTAACACTTTCATTATTGTTCACATGGAAGACGATCTCTTCTGGTTGTGAGGTGCTTTTTGTTTGCTTTATTCCTCTTTTATTTTTATTTTTATATTCTCTCAAAAATGGTTTTCAATTTGGCCTGGCGATGAAATGCACAAATGTACAGTTTTGGAGTGCCTGATGATTTATGTTCATTGTTTCACTTTTTAAAATTTAATTTTGCCGTATTAATTGTATGCCTGAATTACATCTGTAAAAAGAGGCCAACAAGTAATTCATAAGTAGAAATAAAGTTCCTTAAGTGTGATTATTTTGTTTTGTTTATGCATTACTCACAATTAGTCACAATTGTAACCAAAATTATAAATGTTACATTACATGTTGGCTTTTAGGAGATTGAATGTAACATGTCACATGTTTTCAAAACAAATATTCTTTATTTGAAATTGAGCAATATCCATTTATCTATGTTCCATCGACAGGAGTGAAATATGATGCAAATGTGATATGTATTTTTGCATTATTTGTCAACACATGACTGATCCTGAATAATCCTGTAAAGGATCATTGTTTTTTTACCAGTATTTTCTATTAAGTATTTTTAGTTGTTTTGCATGATATCACATTCATTAAAGATTTTTACCGTATATTGTGTTGCTTAAGACTTGAGACCTTTTTGTAGCATTCCAATACTGGCTTTTTGGCACAAACTCCACACTTCACATCTCCATAAGCAAATTAAACAATGCAAACTTCATGAAATGTCACATGTGTTATTTAAAGCTGCGGTACCTAACTTTGGCTCTACTCAGCTCTGTCCTTCTTTGGAGTGTGTCCACTGACCCCGTTTAACCAGCACCAGGTACTTTATCACTGACAGTAAAAAGTTATTACTTTATTATTTCTGACAGGGATTGGCCAGAGTGCTGCTGGACGCCATGGTTATCAAGGAGTTAACCAGGACAGTGGTATGTTGTGGGTAGATTAGTACCAGATGCAAGTGTAATGAAAACACAACCAGATTAGGGCTGGTGGAAACAAAGCTTGAGTATTTTTGGCCTATGTCACATCTTTAGATTAGCATTTTTCCTTATATTTTGAAAAGAACCACCCTCACTCAGCAAATCAGCTCTCAATTGCCAAATAGTGAGGAACTCCTGCCTCACTAATTGGCAAATGATAGCGCGTGTTCTTTGATATGTTGTGGTCTGATCTGCTCGACTTGGAACTTTTATACTTTGAGACCAACATTGAAAAGGTCAAGTACCGAGATCTGTGGACTTTTAACAACGTGATACTGTTTTTTGTATTCGTGACTCATACATGTACAGTAATAGCGTGTTAAGGTGATGTCACAAGCAAGTAAAAGTGGGAAGCATTCTATTGTAGAGTGTTTTAATAAATATCATACACTACATACACTTCATTGGGCAAAGAACGGCCCTCAATCAAATCAAAGGATGTTTATGTTTTGGGGAGAGACAGAATCGGCAAACATGTCTTTCAGTATTAAAATGTACTTTAAAGAACTCCTTGTCAGTGTTTCATTTGTACAATAAATATGATAATATAAAACATAAGTAAAAGTAGTGAGTCATATTTAAACACCTGTACATTTTGTAGTTAAAACATTCCAAACATCTATAACAGACATCACATTCTTAAATCTTTTGGTCTCAGTAACTCGACACATCATTCACCAGTGTTCAAACATTGCATAGTAACAGTCTTAAAATACATTGACCATGGAAGTGTTCATAATGCATAAAATTCATAAATGTAACTTAAAACAATCGTGCAATAATCAATAATTCTCTAAAAATCAATCACTTTTATCAGCGGCTTCCTCTTCTGCAGCGGTTGGTCGACTTTTCTGAAAGAAAGAATGAAAAAGATGACGACACGCAGCTCTGTGAGAACAAATAAAACACACGTTACCGTTGGCCGTTGTTTGCAAAAGCTCTGGTACAGGTTTGTAAACGTGATGTAAACGGTGCCGAAGATGAAGGAGGTCACCACAGAGAAGAAGGCCAGTCCAGACAGCGTGAACAGCAGCGTCAGTCCAGCTACAAGCAACAGCAACACTGGAGAAGACACAAAATCAGTCACAGATGGAAGGAAAGCTCTTCACAAATAATGATATTGCCGGTTGTGAGCCATGCAACTGGAATTTATGAACTACCTTTACAACCAAAATCATTCAAGCATTCAAGAAGAGTCGGCCCCAATCGTCCTAATGCACAACTCACACCAGTGCATCTCCTGCTCTGAGCTAAAGAATGTAGGGATTACGACTCAAAACTACTAAGTAAATAATAAAACTAAATTTAAATAATTGTCTTTTTGCATTATTTAAAGGCCTGACAACTCATCACAGCTAGAAATGACAATTCAAAACAGAAAAAATTTCCTCTACAACCAACAAAAAAATAACAAATCATACAGGCATCATTCAATAAAAAAGGCAGAACAAAAAGAGGAGGGACAAGAAAGAATATCAGACTTCTGAGTCAAATTTCTATTCATGATTTATGATGTAAAATGGATCCAACCCGCACACAAAAAAAACAACAAAAACCTCTGCTAACATGACTGCGTCGCTAAAGGCGTTGGTTTTAGATTGATAGTTTCCCATATTACTCGCAAGGATTTATTCATTTATTCTGACCCAGATTTGCATTGATTTAAAAATTCACTTTTCCAAACCAGTGCTGAACCATTAGTCACAATCAGGGGCGACTTTTTAGGATAATAAGCGGTCACTGCCCAAAACACGTCAAATAACAGTGCTTTGGATTGTAGTATCATGTTCCTGAAATATATTTGTTCCTATATAATGAATAATTTGTCAATCTACTCAATAGAATAAAAGCACAAGATACATCTACCTGTGAAGCGGCCAAATGTGAATTTACATAAAAAAATTTATTTGATTTTAACAATAACGGAAAAGTCAAAACAGTCAATGCACATAATGAATGCAAAGGTTTAGAACAATAAACATTTCAAATGATTAGTTTTACGCCTAATTGTTTACTTTTTTCACCCAATTTTGAGCTGTTTGATAAGACTTTAATAATACATGGCCTCACATTTATTGCCAAGTTAAGGAACGGACACTTAACGACCTCATTTATCATTATATAATCAAAGACCAGAGTTTTTGGTCTGTCCACTCAACTATAGGCTAGAACCAGGCCAGGTGGTCACTGGTCACAATTTTTAATTTTGGTCGTGATCTTACCCTCAAAGAAAACAAAGCCCACAGCCGACATGACCAGAGTCACAAGGGCAAAAACTGCGAAGAGTCCAACAGGGAGAACAGCCATGGACGAGAAGAGTAGGGCGGACAGGCCCAGGACCGGATTCTGGCGAAGATACTGTCCCAGTCTGGTGTTCAGGAGCCGGGCCACCTGCAACAACAATAAATGTCCGACATGTTTTATTATCAACTCAAACCAAAGTCAACCATGGTCATGACCGCATATGCTGATATTTATACACTGTAGTATGTGCAGGACTGAAATTTCCACACTGTGGGACGAATAAATGATTTTGTTATCTTAATCTTAACAAAAATGTACACACCACCATATCATCTTTCATTAATAATACACTTTGTAAAGTTAAATGTTGTGGACAAAGCAGTAATCTTCTTATTAGACAACATGTGAGCGACGTTTGGACGCTTTGGGTGATAGAATCTAACTGTTTTTAGCACTGCAAAATAAATCTCAAAATCTCAAAACTTAATTTGAGCACATTTTGATTGCCGTAAAAAAAGGTTTTTGCCAATGGGACAAGCAAAATGATCTCTTTTTTAAAAACAATACAAGAAATGTCTCCCCTGGATTGAGAGGAGAAAATGTATAACAGTTCTTGAAAAAGGACTAAATGGCAAATCTTGTTTTAAGATGATCAAAATGTACTGAAATTAATGCTTAAATCAAGTGGGTTTGGCATTTATTAACCTCATATTTTTTACAGTGAGAAACTAGCTGAATGGATAACATTTGGGTGCTTTGAAAGATAGGTACCCCAGCTTTAAACGTATTCATTTAACAAAGGCGAACATGAAAATTAGTGTTGATTAGTCTACATCTTGTAATTATTATCATTTACATTAATAAAACATGAATACAGTGTTTTTTTAAGTACAGTCTACGATTTAGCTCAAAAGTCAAAAAGGTGAAAGTCATTGTACACGGGGAATGAATGTGAATTAATATTACAGTAATATTACATTAGATTATTTAATATTCCAGGACAATAGTTGACTCACCCTGGGGTCTTCACAGATCTGGCCCAAAAGTGGACTTAAACTTTGACAAAACGACGCGCTGGTGCTGCACTCCATCTTTGCGCTTTAGGACAGAATTATTGCTAAATGGGAAAAAAGTCAAGAACAAAAACACAGAAGATGATTATTAAACCCAGTGCACAAACGTAAATATAGAAATGGAATAATAAAAGACTGACAGAGATCAGGGGACACACGCTGTTGTTAAAGCTCTGCAGAAATGAAATGTTGTGCTCCTTCCTCAACAACTGAAAGACAAAAACACAACTCCTCCTCTTTTTCAAGGAGGCGTTATGTTACACAGCGACACCCACAGGGCATTTGGTGTATTACAGCAGAGATTCTGGTTAAAGCTGGGATACCTGAATTTCAATAATAAACAGTAATAAACCTTCATTTGTGTGGCACTTTAAAAAAATGGTGTTTACAAAGCGCTGCACAGTCAACATAAACTATAAAAACAGTCAAAATGATACAAAGTCAAAGTAATTAACAGTTAAAAATTAAAATTAGCTGTTTAAAGCTGTTTGATAAAAGTGGGTTTTTGGAACAGTGTTGTTCTATGTCTGGTTCTGCATCGGCTCAACATGCAAACAAGTTGTAATTATAGATATGTGGCATGAATAAAAAAACATCTTCATAACATTTTTTTACTACTATAATCTGATTCTCTGGTTTTAACTTTCAAATGCATGAAGGCTATTTTTGTAAGAGCCTTGAGACACAAAAGTGAAAATGAGAGGATCATCTTCACTCAGGGTCAAATAGTTACAAATATTGTTTTCTATTAAGATAAAGCAGACATAAGTTATTCCGAAAAATGTCCTTTTATTGCCATTGTTCTGTCATGTGCACCGCAACATTGACATATCCCGACTGGGGGATGAATAAAGGTTTTATATTAAAATATAGGGCACAAGTATAGAATAGAAAGCTTTTAGGCTAATAATGACCTTACATTCATTTATAAGTGCAGAAAAAAGCATTGAAAAATAATTGTCTGTATGTTTCTCCCATTCTCTCACCTTTACTGCTGAGTAGTTATTTTGCACAAGTTGCTCCACATTCATATCTTTCCTTGTTTTGTTTTTGTATTATTAGTTCTTGTGTAATGACAACAGTTGTGCTTGGATGTTGTTCATATCTGTCTCTTCTGCCCGGTGACAGGAGGTCAGGGAGACCTACAGAGGGGCCACAGCAGCACCTGGGGTCTTCTGCAGATTTAGAACAAGAGTCTTGGTCAGGTCCTGTATACACGGCAAATTTAGGGCTAAAACCAGTGAGCATGCCATCCCCAGCCGGCCCATGAATCTTTGCTCCATTCTCCACAGAAGGCCCACATCAGACCCTTTGGGAAATACGACAATAGACAGATCTAAGATGGAGAGTTGTAAAACTTTATATCTTTATTCTTGCACTCAGAAAAGTCTGCTTGTCGGAGATTATTGCTTTAGTTTCTGACATGCAGACTTTCCTGGGTCAAGGCGTGAGTCACAATTGTCATGATTTGAGTCTGGATTTGATAAGAATGAGACGAGTTGACACGACTTACATGGAGCTCTGTGAATTGAGAACCCTGAATGTAATACATTTTGAAATGATCATGATGAATGATCTTCCTCATTTTCTATTTGTGAAATACTGTATCATCCAAATTGCTGCAGATGGACTCTGTAGAAAGACTTGATTGAACTTTATTAAAACCCGGTCTCATGCACTCTATGAAGAGGAAAACTACATTGATATATTAATCAATTGATAAATACATCAATTGATAAATACAATGAGTAATGCAAGATGGGTTACCCAAGTTATTGTTTTTTCACCATGAAACAAAATTTCATATCCTTTCATATCACTGCTGACCCCTGTCACCCTGCACATGGACTATTCCACTATTCATCCAGAACCTCTGGTCATAAGAACAGTTTCTTTCCCTCTGCAGCTGGACTCATGAACACTTCATAACTCATCACTGACCCCTGCCCTTATGACCGTCACCTTATTCTTCTGTCACTTTATGTGACTGTCATTTTATTTCACTGCTCAATGTCTTTGCACTAATTTTGCAAACATTTTACTCTTACAACTTGTTTGCACCTTGTGCCAAAGACAATTCTTGTAGTTTCTGACTTCCTGTTACTTACAAAGGCAATAAAATAATTTTAATTCTTACCTGCATGTATTTTTGGCCAGATAGAAAAGTGAAAAAAGAGGACCCCTGTCGATTAGTCATTGATCTTTTGGCCCAAAGAGTCAAGGGATCTTTTTTTACACATATGAAAATATAAAAAATGGTAAAATTAATGCAGCATGTTATTGTCTGATTTGCTTTCAACAACAACAACAACACAATAATAATGATAATAATACACAGTGGTCATAAACAAACATTGTAGCCACAGCTGCCGTGGAGCACACTGACAGAAGCGAGGCAACCAGTATGTGCCATCTGCCCCTCTGACCATCTCTAAACATTCACACAAACACCAAACTCATTCTTGGCAGTTTGAAGTGTCTTGCCTAAGGATGCAATAAAGGGGTGGTACTTTATAACTGCAGCTGCCTCACTGTGGCGTGGTAACCTGGTGTTTCCCATCACAGTACTAACCAGGTACTGCCCTGCTTAGCTTCTGAAGTCTGCCATGATAAGGCGATCACATGCAGGAGGCGTCACAACAAATGTAACATACAAGACTCTTTCTATTGGAACTAACGGCACATTGTTTATGAAGGTAAAAGAACCCCAGGATTTATTTAACACTGGATATCATGATGCTAATTTCCAGTAGATGGCGCTCAAATGTTTCTTCTTAATGGCGTGACTAAACTCATCTACAAGTTCGGCAGTCTGTCTCCCTAATGTGGTCCCTTGGAAGCTTTTGTAGCTGTGTGATTGCAGATGCAGGATTAAGACACGAACTGATCAGAATATAAAATGGTTGAACTTCAGCTCCGAGTTGATTGCTTCTTCAATCTCACGCAAATGAAGTTGTACTCTCGAGTTTCCTCTTATGTGAGGAAATGATATAGTCCACATGAAGTATACATGCACAGGGCTCCTATGGGAACACTCACTGCTGGCATCTTATTTACACTCTTTACTATACTGCTACTGCTGCCACAGCTGCTGCTGCTGCTGCTGCTGCTGGCCACATAATTCATCACACTCTTTAGTATCGAGTTCAGGAGTTTGGTTAGAGCAGGAGAGACTGCCACCTCCTCTGCAGACTGCTAAACATAATGAACTCAATGAACCGAGTAAACTGCCGACTGTATGCAAACACAAGGACTTTCCCCACAGTCACTTCTACAGTCTGCTCCTCACAGTCGCGTCTTCTTTGTGAGGGCCCCTAAGCACTTACATTCACTACAGAAGAATACATGCATGGAAAAGTTAGACTAAGATCAACTGTATTTCATTTTTTAAAATTCATTGCTGTTCACCAAGAATGTTATCATTGCGTTATGTAATGTTTTGCTCGACTCGGTTCAGACACTACATTACACTCTTGGGTCTTTTGGGTCGATCCGAGCACTAGTGCCCATCACTTTGCGACAGGTGGCGCTATAGAGTTAATCATGGACGTCTAATTTTAGTGTCATTGCGTTCAAGCTAATATTAGTGATGTAAGTCTCAGCTCTGTAGGTCTCAGGGCTCGGCCAAAACACTCAAAGGGATTATATAACTTCAATCGTCCAGATTGGGAAATGGCGTGGTATAAATCTGTGCGATGAAAAAAAACAAGGACTAGTAAGTTAAATTGGCGGAGAAACTTCAGACCATCATGGCCGACTTTCTGTTGACCGACTTATACGTTTGGTTCAAAGACGTATAAGTCTACTCAAAAAACAAGCAAAAAACAAAAATTGAAGCTCGGAAAAAGTGACCTTTCCAAGGGGCCAGTGTTAATTTCGTTGACGAAATATTATCGTCATATTTTTTGTTGCAAATATATTTTTGGGGGATGAAAACGAAACGAAAACTAAAATAGAAGTCATTCATTGAGACGCAGACGCTGACAAAATTGATTGACATTTTCGTCCACGATTAAAAGACGTGATGAAAAATGGACCATGACAAAATCTAATCAGAAGAACGGATATATAAGAGCAAAAGAGAAAACAACCAATCGAGTGGCCAGAGGCTATGTGAGGAGGACCAATGAGGGCTTGCCTTAGTAAGCACCAGTGGTGCGAGCTGTGAACAGAAGCCAACACCACTAGCCTGGCCTTAGCCATCCGTACACTCTGCTCAACCCTCATTTCCCTGTAACACCTGTGTTAGCGATTACAATCAGTTGAATTCCATCCAACCAATCAGCGAGCGTGGGAGGCTGTGTTGAAGTTAGTTGTGGGTGACGTCAAGAGTGACTAAAATTGCTTCATATTTTTGTCGACTGTAATTGGACTAAAACTAAATTAAATCAGATGACTAAAATTCTGACTAAAACTAAAATGAACTTTAGTCAAAATACTAAGACTAAAACAAAATCTGGGAACATTTGTTTTATGACATTTTACTGCGAACCGGTCTCATTAGACCCCCATGTGCCAACATTCGTGCATGTCTTCGGGGTCATGCAAGAATGTTTATTAGCCCTCTCCAATACTACGTATTGGTTCGGGCTAATTAACCTTTCTTTAAAGATGCACAGGACTGAAGCGAGCAAAGCAATAGCATCCAGTGTTGTAGACTCTCCCACAATAGTTACTTTGTGTACTTTTGACATTAAGTGACATGATGTGCAATTAATAATAAAATAATGTTCAAATCCTCTCAAGAGCCCAGCAGATGTCAGGCCCTGCACCTGCGTCAGGTCTGAAAGTGCCTCTTCTGCTCAGGACATGTGCATCGTAGTGTGTCTGATGTTGCACTTGCTAATTAAACCTCTTAATAGATTGTAAGGCCCATGATTAATGAGACATGCGATAATCAGAGAGCAGCCACAGAAGCGTGAACAAGTGATCTGCTTTGTCTCTGCTGCTTTCAGCAGATTCCTCTCTTCTCTGTTCCAGCTGAAAAACAATTTTTCTGAATCAGAATGTATTTTACA